AGTGATGTCATAAAACTGCAAAATTTCAAACTCTACTGTCAGGTATACCACTAGAGCACAGAAGTAACTTGCATTACCGTAGATTTGATCCAGTCAAGGATACCTCCCCAAACAAATGATATTTTACGCCCTTCGAATTCGGTTCAAGAACATTAATTTTAAAGATACTGTAATATGTATATATATATATGTGTGTGTGTGTGTGTGTGTGTGTGTGTGTGTGCGTGCGTGAGTGGTAACAATTAACTAAAAAAATAATTAATATTTTTTTTACAGGTTTTGCTGAACAACGAACGCGTGGTGTATGCCACTTTCAAAGGTAACTTAAATATAACCAGGGAACAGTTAAAATACCGCACAATCAATGATTATGCCTGCAAACGACAACGTTGTTCTCACCAAACCCCTTTTCTCATTACTCATACAATGGTCAAACTCACTAAACCCTCGAAAAACAATCTACAACAAATGAAAAATCATTTAGAATACACCGCCGTTAATCTAAGAATTAAACTTTGTCAACAAACGCAAGATGCAGATATTGAAATTTCCCTTGAATTAACTTGAATCTTCGCGACCTAGAGATCAAATGCTCATTTGTCCCTCTATCATTATCGAATCCTCTTCTGTTATAAACGGGCTGAACTTTAGATGGGCATGGCCAGACCAGACTTTTTATAAGCTCGCTTTGAAGCAATTTAACTCTGATTCACCACGTCAGTAGGAAAGGAATTTCAATCATTGGTAACTCGAGCTACAAATGGCTTTTTCCAAAAATTTTGTAAATTTTTTTTATTGAGTTTTTTTTTTAATATTTTGAATAACTTAAAAAAACATACAACAATTACAACATAAAAGTCAGCAATAAAAATAACATAATGTAATAATCACCGATATATAAGAGTTAATAGTAAGAAAATAATAATAATAATAATAATAATAATAATAATAATAATAATAATAATAATAATAATACTGTTAATAGGCTCTAAATTGTTATAACAGTCTCCAGTCCAAACAGCATTTTAATTAGCATTGATAAAGAAGTCAGATATGGTTTTTATAGAAGTAATATTATTTTCTGCAAAATAACAATAAGTTCTTGTTTTTGTTTGCGCAACTTTTATGCATGGCCTCTCTTTTTTATACTTGGAATTCCAAACACAACTACCGTACTCCTTCACAGGACGAATCATTGACTTATAGAGGCTCAAAAACCTCATTAAGGGGAACAAAAACATAACCATCTAGTTTAGTACGATATTATAATACATACTCCAAGTATCGAAATGCACGCCATCGTGTCGTGATTCTATGAACCTCGACACGATGGCGTGCATTTCGATACTTGGAGTATTTATTATACTATCTTATCTGAGATTAATCAGTGGACCTTTCGGTTTCTAGTTTAGTACTGTGTTTGTGAAAATGTTCAACTGCGTTTTGGTGATTAGCCTGTGTAAGTTGAACGTGCTCAGTACATCGTAGGCCTACGCGAGCGTCTAATGGGCTTTCCGCTAAACCTCGTCCCTTTGATATTGTTGTTAAGGCTTAAAAAAAAACCGGTGTAAACGTAGGGAGAAAATGTGGGACATGCTCGTATTCCTGGTGTATTTCTGATTGGTCGGCTGTTAAGTGTGATTGAAAATCCGGAAAAGTCCTTTAAATAGGCCTATTCCTAATTTTCCGTGCGTCCAATGGTTTGGTAAATGGAAGAAAAATCTCTGTGATGGTTCATCTACTTATTTGCATATTTTTTTCAGTATTTCTGGTTCAAAGACCTACCATTCCAAATCGGTATTATTCCGGAATTCCGGTCTGCCGGCATCCTATGTAAGAAAGTTATCTATATAACTACCAAATGTTTTCCTAATTACACATCCAACCAGCTGTGTCCCATTAATATTAATTATCTCTTCAGTACCATTATCTTTAAAAACACTATTACTAATAATGGAATGGCCCTTATCGTTATTGCGTTTACTGTGTGCAATTAGTAAGAAGTTTCTTCGCACAAACTCAAATCAGATCTGCTAGCTAATTACGCTTTTAATCTTCATCTCGATAATTATCCAATTCTATCGCTTGAATCCCACAAACACCTAGGCATAATTATTTAACATAACACTTTAACATGGAAATCTCACACATCTTCACTTAGTAAGAAACTTAACTCTTGCTTATCTTCTTGTACGCACCTCAAAATTCACCCTCCAACTACTTTACAATTATTTGTTTCTGTCTCGCCTTGACCACTGTTGCTCTGTCTGGGGATCAAAATCTACCTGTATAACAAAAGTTCATAAGATCCAGAAGAGGGCCATTCGTATCTTACTGAAACTTCCTCCTACCACTCACCTCACTCATAACCTTGCTCCTCAAACTCTTTGTCAATGCTTCAAAAGGATTGTTGCCAATGGCCGTATGACCACAAAAAAAAATCACTAAAGGTGATCTTCTCATTCTAAGTCTAAATTTAAAATCATTAAAACTTCATCCATTTATGATGCTCCTTATCTCTACAACTCTCTTCCACCGATTGTTCGTTCTGCTTTCTCTTTCTCTTCTTTCAAATTTAACATTCTGCTTTATCTTTTATCCAATCTTGTGTAATTTTCCCTGTGGACATTTCATTGTGTTGCAATATTTTTAAATCATGATTTTGCTATGTTTTGTATAGAAAATTATTTACCTTTTATAAATCTTTTTAATTAAAGATATTATTATTTATTTTAGTTTAATTAAGTTCCGGTATCTTCTCTTTAATTCACTTGATAAATTATTATTTCATTTTTTTCCTGTTGCATGTGTCAATTTTAGTTTTTTTCTCTTGCTGTTAATTTTTAGTTTTAATGTTTTTCTCAAATCTTTATTCTTTTTTTCTAATTTTACATTTTCTGTTTTAATTTAATTAATTTGTTTATGTTAAAGATCTAGTTTAATTTTTAATCTTTTGTCTTTAATTGTATGTACGTACTGATTTCCCATATTGATCAGCTTTGGCTGGATGGTCCACCCTTACAAAATAATATTGAAATAAATAAATAAATAAATAAATAGATAATCTATAAATATATATACACTATATATATTACAAAAAATTGATAGCAATATTTCCCCCCTTTTTGTTTTTTTAAAACCAAAAACAGGACCTAAACCCGATGATGCCACTGTAGACGTTCAGTCTCTACCAGGTATAGTTGTTTTATTTTCTTATATTATGTTTTTCAAATATATTCAACAAATGTTCACCAAACATGACCTAAACCCGATGATGTCTCTGTAGACGTTCAGACCTTACCAGACATAGTTGTTTTCATATTATTATATTACATTTAGATATTATATTTAGATATACGGACGGTCAAAGTCGCTGCCCTATAAAGAAATCCTTTCCTAAATTGTTAACATCCACTTTAGGTCCATTTTAGCTTTTACATTGGATTACTGTTTGGTATTGGTATAATCACGTTTTTCACAATGTTTTTGCCTCATTTAACAAGTACAGTACTGTAATGTTTAACGTTGTTATTATGTTTGGTGCATACTGTTGCCATTATGGGCTAGTAGTCGTCCCAGCATGTCATATGATGCTATATGTGGTAGAGTCCAGCTAAAGCTGGGTGCTCCGAAGGCTTATCAGCCGCGTAGCTCTCCTGTTGGTTGCCTCGGGCTTTCAACCACCTTAACAACCGGTGTCATGGGCAGTTTCATAGAGTTTATCAGGCAGTACTCCACTTAAGGTACATAGTTATTAAATCTAACCATTCTCTTTATTTGGCAATTATTGACTTTATTGAGATATTAGATTGAAACGAGCAACATCATACATTGTTTTTGTTTTGGTTAATTTCAATGTAAAACAAACTTTTTCTGTCAGTTTCATCTTTATTTTTGTATTCGTACACTATAAAGATATGGCTTCATAAACGTATTCCGATGGTGTTTGCATCAGTATTTATTAATAGGGAGTTTTCGCAGCCTTACGAAAAAGATAACGAATACGAATACGTCATCAGGTGTATCGTCATTTGTGCCTAAAAATTCACGGAAAATGCATGATGTGACATATATGTTCCTGTAGGGGATGGATTGACTGAACATTTGATGACGTAGCCGTACTGGTTATCGTATTCGTAAGTTTGCGAAACCTCGCTAATATGATAATCAGTACGATAACAAGTTAGGTAGGGCAAAATCTTCATTAGTAATTATAAACGTAAACATTACTCACAATAACTAATCATTATAACTTTAAATTTCAAAGTAATATATTGTATATTTCTAGGATTTTCAGCATCTGAGAGTTGCAATTTTGAATTGAATGATTGCGGTTTTGATCAGAATGTTGCCGGTGACGTTTTCGACTGGAAGCGGAGCCGCGATATGGATCATACCACGGGTTACGGCTATTCCTTTGGTATAAACGGAGCCGGGCGAAATCCGAAGGATAACGCGATCTTCAAGACTGAAGTCATCCAAGCGAAAGGCGGCAATTTGAAGTTTTATCTCCACACAGCAGATTCTTCTAAACGCCAGAAGCCAACTGAGTTGAAGGTGGATATATTGCCGGCTGGCATGCCAAGGCAGACGTACTTCACTTTTTATGGTCCCAGCGGTGATGCTTGGGTGGAAATGAACTTGTCAATCTCTTACTACCTTCCATTTCAGGTACGAACTGAATGCCTTCCCAGCAAACACAAGACGTTATTTTAACGTTCGCGAACGTTTTGGTTACGTATGTCAGAAAATGACGTCATACAACTTTGCAGCACTGTTGCAATGTTGTTGTGTTGTGAAATCGTTATAGATACGTATTAAAGGTATTACGTTATAAATACGTATTTATAACTCTAAAAAACTGTCAAACCGTAACGTTTTCACATCGTTATTATAATGTAACTCTCTGCTTTTATCAATAATAATATTAATAGTATAATTACTACTATTATTTAATCATGTTTAATATCAATAATAATATCACTGTTATAAATGATTATAGCAATGCAAAATATGGATAACATATTATTTATAATACGAATAATTCTAACTGTAATGTTCATCTTTGATTTCTGTAGTTTATATTTGAAGGAATCATTGGATCGAGCGGAAGTGACATCACAATCGACGATATGGTTTGGACTCCGGCATAGGTAACCACTCACCTTACCCCATAATAATATTCGTAGCAAAGAGTATAGAATTGCAAAAACTGCCCTGATTTTGTATGCACACCATATATGGAACGTTAAAAAGGACTATAGGCCTATGCTTGTAGGCCTTTAATCCGGTTAGCTTGGTTTACACAGCAATTATTAGCCGCTCCTGCATATGCTTGACCCAAAAATAAGATGTGTGTTTAGAATAAGTTACAAGCTGCAAGCACCATCATCCGAACTCACGGTTAATAGCATTGCGTGCATTTTCAAATTATTTCAGTAACTCTTTAAATTTAGTTGTTTTAGTTGAATTTTAAAGTATATATATATATATATACTTTATATAATATATATATATATATAGGCCTAGCCTATTGTTTCTAATCATGCTTGCATGAAATTCTCTCTTTATACTATCTGGCTTTTTCAACCCTCACTCACTCGCCACTGAGGAAGGACTAGTGTTGTCCGAAAGCTCTGGTTCTATTTCTGCCAAGGATTGCCAATAGCGAATATATCACTGTCCTACTTGTAGGTGACAATCGCTTACACAAGACAAACATTCACACATGGTACTTTGCACAAACCAAATCTTATATATGAGGTTTTAGGAACTGCAACACTGACAGGAATTGAACCCATGACCCTCCACTCCATTACATTAATAAAAACAATAATATAATAATAATAATAATAATAATAATAATAATAATAATAATAATAATATTAATAATGACGATAATAATACTAATACTAATATATAATAATAAAAATTATAGGCATAGTAGTAGTAATAATGATGATGATAATAATAATAATAATAATAATAAAAACAATAAATATATATAACAATAATAATAATAATTATAATAACAATAACAATATTAATAACAATAACAACAATAATAACAGTATTAATAATATAATAATAATAATAATAATAATAATAGTAATAATAATAACAATGTAATAATAATAATAATAATAGATAACAATAATAATAAAAGATAACAATAATAGAAATTATTAAGGATAATTGGATCAAGCAATAAAGACAGGAAGTTAATTAACAGTTGGCCTAGCTAGCCATAGAGACAGATGTACGTAGTATAGAGAGATCGTCGCGGGCGTGTGGGCGAACATGATTGATATGCGTATTGACTGATACCTATAGTGAAGGGTTGAAAGTGAAGAGCGGCAGCACTTTATATCTATGTGATAAAGCTAGCTGCGGAAATTGATATCCTTAAGACGTAAATGGCATCATTTTGCAATTCATTTATGAACGCGATTCGATGCAATCTTCAGGTGTGAACAGAATACCAGACCTTGAGAACCTCTGGACGTAAATAAGCTTAGTGATTTCGTCACCATGGCTACCAGTGACGCCATGTCTAATTGTTGATAATACTTTCTCTCTCTATATATATAATAACCATTGTTGTGCTTCTAGTCTTAATGGTTATGTGCTATTAAATTCTTGATTGAGTTCGCCAATTCTGCCACCAAAAAAAAATATAGAAACGGAATGATGAGTGGTCTCTAATTTAGAATGATATTACTAAATAAACATATTTTCGATATTAATAATAATAATAACAAATAATTTTAATAATAAAAAAAATAAAGTAAAATTTATTAAGATTATAATAATTCTATAATGATATTAATAATATAATAATAATGATAATAATAATAAAAGTGATATTATAATTTATAAATGCATATATGCGAATAATAATAATAATAATAATAATAATAATAATTATATAAATAATATTAATAATCATGACATTTTAAAACGCTCTACTTTGGACGACACGATACTATAATGTGACATTATCAACAAAGTTGTTATGCTTAACTATTAGAAATTGACAAGGTAGCCTTCAAAAAGCATTGAAAACACCGTATTCACATCGCTTGCCTCACTCATTATTTCTTTTTTTGTGTGCGCCGTAATGGAAAGCCAGGCCATATGGACATTTATCAGATAATTACATAATAACGACCTTAATAATGTATATACTACAAAAAAAAATCTTTATGCAAAAGAGTAAATAAAAAATGTTATCACATAATACAGTAGGTGGCTGAAATAAAAAAGTTTGCTATTTAAAAAAAAGTATTGTTTTAAATCATAATCATAAGCAAATGTTCCTTAAGACGATGTTTTCGGAATATAAACGCGCAAAGCTATAATATATTCTACGGTTTATTGAGACACAAATTGCCGTAAAACAAGTCGAATTTAAAGGCTCTATAACAAGGTGCAAATTGTGCTCAATTCTAACACATATAAATCGTCTTCCAACAATGCATTATGATTTGTAAAACGGTAAAGAAGAGGAATCTGTGAATGAAAACAAAAATCGCCCGAACTGGGATTCGAACTCGGGATCTGTTTCTGTTTATGCAGATACCTGGGTGTTTCTTTGGAAGTGCGAATCCGATGGAAAGAAATAGACTACACAGTCTATTCAGGTATGGCGATACAACATCAGTACAGGTATTAGAATGCTACAGTAAAGCTCCAAAAGACTTTAGACCTTATGTAATACGAAATTTAAAACGTCGATCTCAAAAATAAAAAGAAACCAAAAATAATAATAATTCAAATGGACATGCTTTAATTTTCCAAGTTCATTATAAACTTCTGTCATTTTTTCTCTTTCCTTACACAAATGCATGTAATAGCCTATGATATTATAATAAAATAATTAAGTTTATGATATAAACTATGTGGATATAAACTATGTGAGTTTTAAAACGCTTTAAAACATTTCGTTGGCTTATGTACATGGATGTTATATGTTAATTTCGTTGTCATTATTATTATTAATGTTATAATCTTTATTAATAAAAATGAATGAATTAATAATATTATCATTATTATCACTATTATCTATTAATTAACAATTCAAACATTAAATTAACAAAATATTATTATTTTAATTAATATTACAGGTATTAGCGTTAGCAACCAATGGACATATATAGGTGTATTCATGGTGTCGTATAGCGTAATCATTCATTTTCCTGATTTTGTACTTCACGTGGTATGTTCGTGCCACAAAATTAATCATGTGGATGATCTGTAACAGAAAAAAAAGCCGTTAATACCAGTACGGCTACACACTAATTTGTATTTCCATTCACTGATATCACTCAGCGGTTATGTGGCACCACATAATTGGCACAAGCCTGGCAACGGGTCAGAACAATCACAGACTACTTAGTGTATCATTACATTTAGGATCACAAATCAAAATCAAAATAATTCTGTCAAAGTTAGTGCCACTGCTCATCGGTTGTGCGAAGGCTTTCCGACTGGGTACCGATGTCCATAATGAGATTACAAGTGGGCGCGGTCAGGTGCCGCCCAAAACCACTGAAAGGGCTTTAGGGGGCGAAGTCCGAAAGCTTCAACAATTTATGGATTTGAAATGCTTATAAACTGTAGGAATTACATATATTTTCTTTCTCCCTGACGATATGTGGTTTTTCTGCCCGGCAAAACAGAGGGAGATGGGAGAGGGGAAGCCCTTCCAAAAAGACGGGAGTAGGGGTCTACCCCTGTCCTCAACTGGTTCCACCACTGCCACTGCTGCAGTTGCTGTCACTGATAATCATTAAAATAATCATTGTCGTTATCATTAACACCACCATTAATACCGTTATCGTTATTTTTATTGTGATCCTTATTATTAATATTATTAATAAATAATATTTTAAATATCAATATAATAAATGATAATAATAATAATAATAATAATAATAATAATAATAATAATAATAATAATAATAATAATAATAATAATAATAACATTAGTATTACTTTTGATATTGTTATTTTGAGGTAAAAATAACAAAATGAGCTAGTGTGATCAATAGCCAATACCTTTTTGTTCGAATTCAAAGTCATCAATGAAAATGTTTTCTTTGCTATCTTCCATAAATCCATCGATTTCAAACTGAAACTGATAAATACAAATTATTGAAAATGCTTTTTTTTTTCTATAGGGTTGATTGATCGATTGATTGTTTGGCTGTTTGATTGGTTGATTGATGGATCGATTATTTGGTTGCAATTGTGATAATTTTAAATGAGAAATTTAGCATTTTAATTAGTTGATGCAAACCAGTCACGATCGCCGCGGCAAGAGGATGCTCGAATTTCACAATAATCTGGTAACCACGTATTACAAGATCATAATTAGTATACTCCCCGATTGTATATGAATAATAATTAAACATTTTAAGTAATGAAAATGACTTTTTTTGTACATTTTGTTGCAAAATATGAAGAATGGAAATAATTGGAAGATACCCACAAAAGAGAAAGAGAAAAAAAAAATTAATAAGGAGTTTTCGCAAGCTTACGAAATTTAAAACGATAACGAATACGGTTACGTCATCAAATTTTCAGACAACCCTTCTCCTACAGTAGTATATCTGTCAAGACATAGGCGATTCATGCCATTTGCATGAATGGACCTTTCCGCTAAGCCCCGCCCCTTGGATATTGTTGCTAAGGTCCCACAAGGCGACAGTGTTAAAACATACGAGAACGCCTGCGTTTGTGGGACAACACGTGTGTTTGTGAGACGCGCGCGTATTCCTAGCGCTGTTCTGATTAGTCAGTTGATAAGTTTGATTGACACTCCGGAAAGGTCTATTAAGGATCATTTCAGCTGGTAAAACATATTATCAAGAATGCTTAGACACGCAGGACGAGTTATTGTTTTCGTAAGGTTACGAAATTCCTCTAATAAGTGAAATTCAGATTAGGAAAACCAACATGAGAACCTGACATATGGCTAGTTGACCATTTACCAAAGTTTACTACAGTATTAAAGATAAAGCAAGATGAAAAACAAGTATGACACTCAATAAGTTAAGCATTTGGTATTAAAAAAGTGTGCATATTGAATGAACTCGATGATGATACAAATCTAGTTTCCGACCAAGTGATGGACATTGAAACGCGTCAACAACATTTCTATCGTAATCATATATAATTACTGTACCGCGTAAATGATTGACCTTGGAGTTATCAACTCAATGGATTGACATGAAATAAATAAAGTATATACTTCTTTCAAAGTCAGACCATGTAGTGGTGGAAATACAATTGTGAATGCATGTGCACAAGGAGATATGTATAATTTTCTTTTAAAAGGAGACATTTTTTTGTATTCAGATTTAGGCCTACAGAATTGTAGTTTTCCCCGTAAAATTATGCCTTCTCAATTACGAGCATTACCGTATTTCATAGTAAATCAAAATAGATTAGCGTAGGCCTACCTTAAACTTTGATGTGTGATCCATATGTACGTCAACCGACATCGGGACCCATGGCCTATCTAATTCCGCCGCCATGGGTACCCACGGTCTATCCATCCCGCTACTGGCTAGATAGATCAGCTTCCTGTCACTGCGATCAGAACGCCGGATGTACACACCTAGACTAGCATTTTTAGCGTTTGTCTTATCAGGAATATAATATCTCATACTAAGTACTCCAGAATTTCCGGAAAACGAGGGTGAAACAAGAGTGGATGACGCCTCGGTGTTGGTCGAATCTCCCGCGTTAATTCTCATCGAGCATCCTGAGAAGGAAAAATGCAACGTTGGAAAATGTATGGCAAAGTGATTTTAAAAGTCATGGACACGAAATTGTTTAAGATCATATGGCCAAGAAAAGAGAAGTCGGCCGGATGTATTATAAGAGAATTACGGGTAACCTTTTTTTTTTCTGTTTTTGTTTTCTATACAAAGATCGTCGTCATCGCAGTATCATAGGCAGTGGCGGTGCAACGTGGGGTGGGGGATCCGAGAGGAAGAACATTCAGTAGTTTAATGCCGTTTTCCTTCAATTTCACATCACCTAATATCACACATCAATCACTTGTTCGAACGTCAAATGTTTGGCCTATTCTGTATTTTATTGGTCTATTGATGTAAAAAGGTTTGATGAATGCTGCAACTATGTATAATGAATTGAATGATGGTAATATAGGTGGGGCCGCATTAGTATAACTATGAAAAATGAAACATTGATTGCATTTTATTGACGAACTATATATAGTATTTATTTTAACAAGCTTTCGCCAGCTGTCTATGCTGGCTTCATCAGGTGCAAAGAATGCAAATAGGAAAGGAAAAGTTAAAAAAAGAAAACGAAATATGAGAAGGAAAAGAAAGGGAAGGAATAGAAATATAAAAGAAAAGAAAAGGTAAAAAGCGAAAAAAGGAAAGAAAACGAAAATTTAAAGAAAGGAAAAGAAAAAGGAAGAAAACGAAAATGTAAAGAAAGGAAAAGAAAAAGAAAGAGAAAACAAAAAGGTAAAGAAAGATAAAAAAATTTGAAAAGTAAAGAAATAGCAAATGAATGAAAAAAGGGGGAAAAGAGAAAAAGTAAATTGAAGTAGGAAGGAAGAGGAAAGGAAAGAAAAATGAAAAGAAAGGAAAGCTAAAGAAAGACAAAAGGGGAAAAATGTGTAAAGAAGAAGAACGAAAATAAAGGCAAGAAATTGAAATATATAGAAAGAAAAGGAAAAGGAAAAGAAATGGAATTGGTAAAGAAAGAGAAAGAAAAGAAAAAGAAATGGGAAAAGAAAAGGAAAGAAAAAAAATAAAAGGCAAGTAAAGGAAAATGTATAGGAAAGGAAAAGAAAGGAAAGGGAACAAATAAAAGAAATAGAAAGATAAAAGAAGGAAAGAAAAAAGAAAAGAAAAAGCTAAAGAAAGAAATTACAGGGAAGTAAAGGAAAGATAGACAGGCGATAGGAATGAAAGAAAGAAAGGAAAAAGGAAGAAAAGACATAAAAAAAAGGAAAAGAAATGTAAGTTAATGTAATAAGGACAAGAAAAACAAATAATTAACAATTATTTAAAGAGATCAAAGAGAATTAAAAATACTGTATTTTGCCTACCTTCTTTATCACAAATCCTAAGCCAACCAGAAAGGGCGTAGATGTTGGCGAATGCGTTGTTGAACCCACACTCATCAACTTCAAAATTACATAAAAATTTGTCTAAACCTAGAATAAGAAAATTGTGATAAGTAAGCATTTTAATCTAAAACACAAAGGTGATAAGGTGTAATGATATTATTATTGTTGTTGTTGTTGATATATATTATTACTTTTACTATTGTTGTTGTTATTGTTATTTAGGCCTATTATTATTATCATTAATATTATCATTATCATCGTCATTTTTGATAATGATAATAGGGTCTAATAGTAATGAATCGGTGGATTAGATTTGATGTATTCGGTGTAATATTACAATAGCAACAACAAAAACAACACCAACAACAGTATTATTATTATTATTATTATTATTATTATTATTATTAATAATAATAATAATAATAATAATAATAATAATAATAATGTGAATATATTGATGATCGTACTAATGATAGTAATGACAACAACAACAACAGTAATATAATAAATATAATAATAGAATAAAAATAATAAATAAATTAATAATGATAATATAATAATAATAACAATAATAATAATGATAATAATATTGATAGTAATGACAACAGCAACAACAGTAATAAAAACAGTAATAATAACATTTATTTTCATATATTTCCACAAAAAGAAGAGATAAAAAAGTAAGAGAAATAAATCTGAGTAATATACAATACAACATTATAATTGTAATAACAATTTGTAAACACGGTCTTTATTAACTATTATAAAAACATACCGTACCTGATTTTACATTTCACACACAACATTTTGTTTCTTCCAAAACAAATTTTTCAGCAGGATTGAATTCATTGACACTAAGATATTTTTAACTATAAGAACTATCATTATTATTTAATACAAAAACAGAAACAATTTTAGTAGGCCTAGGCCTAAGTGTGAATAAAATATACTAGACAAATAGACGACACAGTAGAATAATTTTATCAGAAATTAATTTTTTCAGCTATTTTTATACAGTATTTTTAGACCAAACAAGCAAATTCAATATTTCTTTATTCGTCATAATACTTAAAATGTGATGAAAAACAAATATGTGATAGCCTATTTGGTTTCCAGAGACAAGCTTGGTCGATCTTAAAATGTCAAATACAAAAATACAAATATAATTATTGTGTAAAATAAAATGCCACACATGAAAACCACAAAAGTGATGGCTATTTTACATTATCATTTAATTTAAGGTAACAATGATATATATGCATACTACATAAATTACTGTACAAACAATATTTAAAATACATTATTAAAATACAAATATAAAAACGGACATATCTGAAATATAAAAGAAAAACAGTATTATAAAAATTAATCATAAGGTAAAAATGATAATAGACCTTCAATACAATTCATGTACAGCACAAACAATACTTGGAATAAAAATATAAAAATACTGTAGGCTTATCGATACATAAAAACAGTATTTTTACACACAGATTATCTCGTAAGGTTTGATAGATTTATTGCACTTGGAAAGAGCAATTCAATGTGATGGTTTTATTTACAACAAATCCGTTGATGTTTTTATAAATAACGATATTATGAGGCGAAGGCGTAGAAGTCAAAAAATAGGTCACCGCTGTAAATAATAATAAAATAATGTTATATTTATATAGCGCATATTACACATTGCCCCTATCCGCTTTACAGAGAAATAATATAGGCCAAGTGAGAAAAAGCACAATAAAATAATAACAATAAAATAAAATAAAAATAATCATAATAACAATAACACACACACACACACACTGGCTACCTGTTTAGCCGACTGAGCTAAGTTGCTCTGTAATGTAACCAAGCCCCGCCCCCACACATTTCTGCCCGTCGGTATTACCTTACCTGGTGGTAATATAGGTGGTGTTTGGCATGACGATCAATAATCATAACAATTGTCACATAAACAGTGAAGGTCGGAAAGCCCACAGTTCCACTCTGAACAGCATTCACACGGACAAATTGCGTCATCGCCGTTAGGTGCAGAAAACCGGCTCCGAATCTATAATCGTCTCGATAATTTTCTTAAAGAATGAATTTTATCTATTTAATTAATTATATAATTTGACAACATACACCTCACCTTTGTATGGGAGGCACTCGCTGAAATAGGTGCATTCAACATACAGGTTTAAGACCCCTCCTCACTCCATGCACTAAAATAATAATTCCTGGGTAGGATCTATGATAAGAACAGAGACGAGGGGCACTTAGACTTCTCCGACATCTATGAAATTTTGAATGAAGTGGCCACAAAGTGCATCCGGAGTACTACTCCATCCCTGATGACACAACGTCCAGAGACCAGACCAAATGAGTTCGGTCATATGAGCAAGAACTGACATTCATGATCAAGCCATGTGATTACAGGCGAAAAGTCTTTCTTTTTTTCTTTTCAGGCTGACCTTTCAGGATGACCCTTCACAATATATTTTTTTCGTTGGTATGCTCCTCTTTATTCTACCCTGCATTTTTACTGAATCAGTATTTATATTTGTTTGAATGAATTTGAAAAGGAAGCGAATAAGTGTCACTTTGAATTAAATTGAATTTACGTGGAAGGTAAATTCTACTTTGCTTATCCAACTTATTTAAAAAAAAAATATATTCTATAATATCTTTTTAACCAGGATGACACAATCAATTGTGGAAATGTGTTTCACTGTAGTCAGATTAACAGTCAACTTTATATGTATAAACATGCTGAATGAATTTATGTTATTGTTGTTTTTGTTGTTACTGTAATCTGTAAGGCGCGGTACAAATTATTTTTATTCATGGGCTCTGCCGTAGTACTCTTAATTATTTAGTCCATTAAAGTGTTTAAAATATTAAAGTGTCAATAAATGCTTTGAATTGGACCGTTCATCCCCAGTGATGGATTCAAGGGGGAGGGGGACCGGCACGGGCCCCCTAAAATCTTTCCAGAATATAAAAAATGGAGAAAAAAAAAGAAACTATATTGAAATTTATGTCTGAGAGTGCCATTTTCGGCTATCTATCATCATTTGTTTACCACGTGGCTTAGTTTGGATATAGACCCTCACATCTGCGAAAGACCATCCTGAAGAGCCCTCTATTCCAATGACGAAAAAAAAAACCAAAAACTCAGTACATAACAAAATTGCAAAAGTAATTTAAAAAAAACTGATTTATTGATTAAATTATATTTAATATTGATTGAATAGCTCTGAAACAATGTAAAAAAATAATGGCTAACATTTGCGAATGAGTATTGGATGACGTCATTGCTATGTACAATTTCTGCTTGCAGTAATATTGGCGTCCCCATATCTATCAAATGTTAATACAAATGAATAAAAGATTAAGTAAAAAAAAAATACAAGGTGAAATTCGCAACATTAGGTAAATACTGTTGGATTTGAATTTTTTATCAGTTCGTCACCATATGTGACGTAAAGAACTGAACAAAATACAGTCGAACCTAGACAATTATGAAACATATTCTATTTACAACCCGCTCTTAAATGTTCAATGATATACCGTATTTATTCGAATAAACGCCCCTTTAAGTCAACATCCCTCCCCTCCCTTCGAATAAACTTCAGAGCCTCACTAGGAATAAACGCCTCCCTCGAATAAACGCCTGTCTCTTATA